CCCACCTTCATCCTATTTAAAAATTTGTTTTGTTTTGAGAAAGGGTCTTGCTAGGTTGTCTGGGCTGTTCTAGAACTTCTGACCCTCCTGCCTTAGCCTGGTATTATAGGTGTGTGCCTCTGTTCCTGCCCCATTCTCTGATGTTTTATTTATTTTTATTTTGGTACTAGGGATTGAACCCAAGGGAGCCACATTCCCATTCCTTTTTATTTTTTATTTTGAGATAAGGTCTCACTAAATTGCTGAGTCTGATCTTGAACTTTGTGATTCTCCTCTTACCTTCCAAGTTGCTGGGATACAGGCCAGCGCAACCCGGCCCAGCCCCTTGATATTTTATTTTTAGTTTTCTTTTTAGTATTCAGGATTGAATCCTGGGGTTCTTTACTACTGAGTTACATCCCCAGCCCTTTTTTTATTTTTTATATTGCAACAGGTTCTGAGTAAGTTGTTTAGGGCCTTGATAAATTGCTGAGGCTGGCCTCAAACTTACTATCCTTCTGCCTCAGCTTCTAGAGTCACTGGGTCTACCATCATGTGTCACCACTCTTGGCCCATTCCCTGATGTTTTAAATTTCAGTTTTCATATTTTTTAATTTTCTGGATTTCCTATTGGTTCTCTTTCATTTTCATTTGTTAATTTTTTTTTGCTTTTTGTTTCATAGTTTCTTGTTCTTTTTTTTTTTTTTTTTTGAGAGAGAGAGAGAGAGAATGAATTTTTTTTTGATATTTATTTTTCAGTTTTCGGCGGACACAACATCTTTGTTTGTATGTGGTGCTGAGGATCGAACCCGGTCCGCACGCATGCCAGGCGAGCGCTACCGTTTGAGCCACATCCCCAGCCTTCTTGTTCTTTTTTAAAAGTTTTTTTTTTTTCATTGTAGTTGGAAACAATACCTTTATTTTATTTATGTATTTTTATGTGGTGCTGAGGATCGAACCCAGGGCCTCGTACATGCTAGGTGAGCACTCTACCGCTGAGCCACAATCCTAGCCCTCTTGTTCTTTTTAAAGGATTTTTTTTTCTTTAGTTTGCTGAGAATTCCAAGTGTACTTACTTTAAATTCACTTTCACATTCTGTTATATTAACATTGTTTCTTATTGTTGCTTTTGTTTTTCTTAGCGTTGGTGTTTTCCATTTTTTTAAAATAATTTTATTGATTTTTTAAAAAATAAATGATAGCGGAATGCATTTCAATTCTTATTGCACATATATAGCACAATTTTTCATATCTCTGGTTGTATATAAAGTATGTTGACACCAATTTGTGTCTTCATACATGAACTTTGGATAATGATGTCTATCACATTCCACCATCCTTTTTGTAAAGGTGCATTATGGCAGGAGGCTTTTAAGTAAGAATCTAGTTTTAAATTAGGTCCTCTGGACTTTTGTCTATGATAATGTGAGATGTCACTATGTTCTGGTTCTGGCTGAGATTTTTTGCTTCAACCTGATTCCCAAGGTTGAAGTTCTCCTTCCTATGCAACATTCTTTAAAATTTAAGAAATGTCATTTTCATTGACATCTTTCTTTTTTAAAGGAAAATTTTTATAATAACTTTATTTATCTATTTGTTTTTATGTGGTGCCGAGGATTGAACCCAAGCACTCTATCATTGAGTCACAACTCCAGCCCTTATTGACATCTTTTGCCTGGATTTAGCTCTCTTGCTTAGCTGACATTTGAAGTCTTTTTTTACTTTCATTAGTGTTTTGCTATCTTGGATTCTGTTTTGTTAGCAGTCTTGAAATTTGGTGCCCAGAATTGAATTATTTTGCCTGATGTTTAAATTCCCTAAGCATTACCATCTGGTCTTATCTTTTACCCTTCAGGTTCCATTTCCTTTCCCTCACACTGGTCTCTTTGAGGCACCATGAATACAGAGTATTTAAGCTTCCTTCTTTTAGTTTACTCACTTCCCTGTCTGGAGTGGTCTCCTTCTGCCTTTCTTATCTAGATTCTGACAGTTTTCAAGGCCCATCTCAAAGAGTATTTCTCCATGAAGAATTTCCTAATTACCTTCAGCCTCATTCTTAGAACCCTTGGTTTCCTGGTCTTCACCATTGTTTCTCAGCCTTGGTATTATCAATACTTTTGGTTTGACAGTTCTTTGTTCTGGGAACTATTCTGGACACTGAAGAATTTTTAGCAGCGTCCCTGGTTTCTACCTACTAACTGTCAATAACATCACCTAGGAACTTATTAGGAATAAAGATTCTCAGGGCCCTGAATGCCGCTGAATCAAGAAACAGAGATAGTTGAGCCCTGCACTCTGTGCTTTAATAGCCCTCCGGATGGTTTTGAGGTATGTTGAAGTTTGAGATTCACTTTCTCAGAAGATTGTGTTTCTCTCTCTCTCTCTCTCTCTCTCTTTGGAGGAAAGAACCATTGTTATAATTGTATTGTTGATTAGCATAATGACAAATTTATGCTTGAGGATTAGTTACTAGTTGCAAAACTTAATCTTTTTGAGGTAGTCTTAGCCAGGTATTCAGAGAGATGTGTGCTTTCTGTATTTATGGAAAAGAATAATTGGGAAGAGGATTTGAATTGATATGAAACTTTACAAAGGACATACTTATATTCAGTAAAAACAAATAGATTTTAGCAGTAATTGTTTCCTGAAAATGGAGAGGGCCTTGAAAAACTATTGAATGACCATCTCTTGGAAGTATGAGTGGGCTGGATGTCATTTGCAGTGAAGCTTTTTTTTTTTTTTTTAAAGTTTTGATTTGTAATATAGTACAAGGAGTAGAACCTTTAAGTATCCTTTCCAGGCTTTGTGTCTTGTGTTTTCTTGTTATTCTTTCCCTGCCGCACTTAGCCCTAATCTTAATGGATTTGATATTTGGTGCTTTCTGGAATTTAGCATTATTCCTGCATGGATAGCCTTTGACCTTTCTCAGGAGCTGACATATCCAATCTGTATGTAGGAGTCCTTGTGAAGTTCTCTACTGACTTTTTGGAAATAGCTCTTTGTGATCACTTTGTCAGGAAACTCCTCTTGATATCTGCTTATTCTCAGAAGTTACTTGTCACTCTAGTTTTAAAAAACCCTCACAGCTGGATGTGATGGTGCACACCTGAAATTCCAACTTAGTGAAACTCTGTCTCAAAAATAAAATAAAAAAGGGTTGGGAATGTAGCTCATTGGGAGGTAGGGTACACCTAGGTTTAGTCCGCAGTACCACTCCCCAATCCCCCAAAAGCTATCATCTACATCTGACCGATTATGATCTTGTTTGGGCATGAGTATAATGGAGGGATTTTCTTTTTTTAATTATTTTTTTACTTATATATGACAGCAGAAAGCATTACAGTACTTATTACACATATAGAGCACAATTTTTCGAATCTCTAGTTGTATACAAAGTATATTCACACTAATTCGTGTCTTCATACATGTAGTTTGGATAATATGTCCATCACATTCTACCATCATTTCAACCCTATACCCCCTCCCTTTCTCTCCCACCCTTTTGCCCTATCTAGAGTTTGTCTATTCCTCCCATGTTCCCCCTCCCTACCCCACTATGAATCAGCCTCCTTATATCAGAGAAAACATTCGGCATTTGGTTTTTTTAGAATTGGCTAACTTCACTTGGCATTATCTTCTTTAACTCCATCCATTTACCTGCAAATGGCATGATTTTATTCTCTTATTGCTGAGTAATATTCCATTGTGTATATATGCCACTTTTTTATTATCCATTTATCTATTGAAAGGCATCTAGGTTGGTTCTACAGTTTAGCTATTGTGAATTGTGCTGCTATAAACATTGATGTGGCTGTGTCCCTGTAGTATGCTGTTTTTAAGTTCTTTGGGTATAGAGCAAGGAGAGGGATAGCTGAATCAAATGGTGTTTTCATTCCCAATTTTCCAAGAAATCTCCATACTGCTTTCCATATTGGCTACACCAATTTGCAGTTCCACCAGCAGTGTATGAGTGTACCTTTTCCTCCACATCCTCGCCAACACTTATTGTTGTTTTTATTCATAATAGCTGCCATTCTGACTGGAGGGAGATGAAATCTTAGATAGTTTTGATTTGCATTTCTCTAATTGCTAGCAATGATGAACATTTTTTTCATATATTTGTTGATTGATTGTATATCATCTGAGAAGTGTCTGTTCAGGTCCTTGGCCCATTTATTGATTGGATAATTATTATTATTATTTTTTGGTGTTTAGCTTTTTGAGTTCTTTATATACCCTAGATATTAATGCTCTATCTGATGTGTGAGGGGTAAAGATTTGCTCCCAAGATGTAGGCTCTCTATTCACCTCATAGATTGTTTCTTTTGCTGAGAAGAAACTTTTTAGTTGGAATCTATCCCATTTATTGATTCTTGATTTTTTTCCCCTTTTGGTGGGGCTGGAGATTGAACTCAGGGCCTAATGCATGTTAGACAAGCCCTACCACTGAAATATACCCTAACTCTATTAGGATTCTTTATTTAAGTTATTTATTTATTTATTTTTGGTACTGAGAATTGAACCCAGAGGCATTTTACCACTGAACTGCATGCCCAGTCCTTTTTATTTTTTATTTTGAGACAGTGTCTTGCTAAGTTTCTGAGGGTCTTGCTAAGTTACTGACACTGGCAATGAACTTGAGATCCTCCTGCCTCAGCCTTCTTTGTCACTGGGATTATAGACATGCACCACTGTGTCCAGTCTATAATGAGTTTTAAATAAGAAATATTTGTAACTTAAAGCTTAGAAAGATCTCCAACATGAAACTGATGGCCTGCTATAGGAATAATGTAGCTCTCTCTACCTCTCTGAGGAGACTGAAACAGAGATTTCTGCATTGGGTATGAGATTATATTGTGTGACACTGAACTCTCTTCAATGAAGAACTTCTTTTCTCAAGAATTACACTTGACAATGGAATCCCACCTCTAATATTGGCACGTAGCAGGTGCTCAAGAAATGTTGCTGAGGTAAAAAGAATTTGTAAAATTACTCATAGTATCTTCTTTTTTCTCTTATAGTTAAAAGAGCCAAATTCCAGGGTTCACCAGGTAAGTCCAGCCTTCTATTATTTTGTTCCTTCTCCTTCCATACTTTCTGTGATTTTAAGTGTTCTTTAAAAAAATCATTAATTTTATGTAGTCCATTGGTTAAATTCAATAATTAACTAATTAATTCACTAAAGTAATTCATAACCTTATTAATTAAAATCAGTGCTATTGTAAAACATTAAAGTTGTTTGTATATCTGTGTTTGTCAATAAGTTGCTTTACCTCTTAGTCAACCCAATTCTACTTCTCAAAAGTAATTTTTTTTTTTTGTACCAGGGATTAAACCCAGGGACGCTTAATCATTGAGCCACAGCCCATTTTTTTTTTTATTTTTAAATTTGAGACAGGGTCTCAGTAAGTTGCTTAGGGCCTTGCTAAGTTGCTGAGGCCGGCCTGGAACCTGTAGTCCTCCTACCCCAGCTTCCTGAACCACTCGGATTACAGGCATGAGCCACCCCACCCCTCCTATTTAGAGATTTTTTTTTGTAATTTCAGACCATTCCTTTGTACACACTGTAGACAGAAATAGATCATATTCCATGTATCTTTGTGCAACATGCTTTGTCCTCCAGCAACATATTGTGAGCATATTTGTGTTTTTCTGTTTCTTTCATTTAAGGTACTATGTAGAATTTTGTTATGTTTTGTACTCTAGGATCTTTATATCTATCTACCTACCTACCTACCTATCTATCTATCTATACACACACACACACCCACACACATATATGTATATATTTAAAATATTTTTAGTTGTAGATGGACATAACAACTTTATTTTTGTATGTGGTGCTGAGGATTGAACCCAGTTCCCCATGCATGCTAGGCAAGTGCTCTACCACTGAGCCACAATCCCAGTTTGTACTCTAGGATCTTGATGGATGAATATTTAAATTGTTTCCAGTGTTTGGCTATTATAAATAATAAATTTTCTTATGTGCTTATCGTTGTCCAGTTCTGCAAATGTAGTTATATGCTAGAGTCTAGAAATAGAATTAATGGGTCAAAGTTGTTTTAGTTTTATTTTGTTTTGGCAGGCTGGCAGTTGAACCCATGACCTTGTATATACTCTTCCACTGAACTACATTCCTAGCCTCCAAAGTTATGTATTTTTTAAAAATTTGGTAGCTGCTGCCAAATTGCTATTCTTAATTTTTTTTTCTTTCTTTTGGTGCTAGGTATTGAACCTAGGGCCTTGCACATGCTAAGCATACTCTCTAGCACTCAGCTATACCAGTCCTGAAAGTTTTTACTAGATTATGATGAGACCAAAAGTATACAAGCACTTATTTCCCCAAATCCTTTTATCAGCACTAGATAATGTGAAACTTAAATCTTTGTCCATCTGAAGATGAAAAATGCTATCTACTTATTTTAGTATGCAGTTCCTTAATTATAAATGTCAATTTATAAAGACTTACTCTGGTTACTGCTGGGGAGGGGAACTGGGGGTTACTGGAAAAATAATGAACTTGGTTGGGAACCTAGGAAAACCTGACAAACCAGACCTTGTTACAACAGGAACTAAAACAATTTCAGAGCCTACTGTTCTTCCATAGGCTCTTAGGTAGGGCTTCTCTCTTTCTGAGGATCTCCTCTGTTCTTTCTCTGGGCTGGCTTTCTCTGCTTACCCATCTTGCATAAGATCCATAATAGCTGCTACAGTGGAATTTTTATGCCCTTTCTTCCAATTTTTGCACCAACCACCAATTTTCAGTAATTTTCTCCCTTCTATTTAAAATCTTTTGCAAGAGAATCAGATCTGTCTCAGCTCTTGGCCAGCCCATGACTTGGCTGTTCTTTAGTTGTGTCTACCCATGGTCTGATCAATTATGTATAATTTGATGTAGGGGGGTGGAATATAATATCATATGATATATAATGTAGCTCAGAGGCCTAGGCCTCAGTAGAGCCCTTACTTAGCACATGGAAGGCCCTGGGTTCAGTCCCCAGGACCACCAACAAAACAAAACAAAACAAAACAAAACAAAACATACAGCTTAGTGGTCTACTGTATTATGTGGGCTTTTATCTTCATGTGTCTTTAGGGAAGAGAGAGAAGGATGTAGGTCAGAGTTCTGAGCTTTATTTCCAGGCCTCTATCTTTGTTTAGAATTCAGTTTATCATCTCAAATTATAGTGTTTCCTTTTATGTGGCTTGTTCTTCAGGCCAAATTGTGTAGATTAAGCTTGAAGCCCTCTTCCTTTATGAGGATTTTGCCTCAGTTTTTATCCCTGTCAATACTCTGCAGCTGTTATCTTTCTACATTTTATCAAATTTACATGTCTTGTGATTCTATTAGATCAGTTCAGTTATTTTCTTCAAACTATAAGTAGTTATAAATTTACTTTAGTACATTCTGATTAGTTCTTCTTTTTTTTTTCTTTTTTGGGTACTGGGGATTGAACCTAGTCCTATTTTATATTTTATTTAGAGACAGGATCTCACTGAGTTGCTTACACCTCGCTTTTGCTGAGACTGGCTTTGAACTCACGATCCTTCTGCCTCAGCCTCCTAAGATGCTGGGATTATAGGTGTGGGCCACTACACCCAGCCTGATTAGTTCTAATTAACATTTTAATAGACTAAATCAATTAGAATAGGAAATATCTAATATATCTTGTATTTCATGAATCTTTTGTTTCAGTTTGCATGAGTCTGTATGTTTTTACTGGGTCATATGATGCAAAATATATTAAAATTTGAAAAATACCATATTAGATTGTACTCTTGAAGATGGTGTATGGTTTTATAATTTTTGTGACTCTTGTGCCTGGAATTGTACAATGGATGCTTCAGAGTATTTTGGTTTTTTTGTACATTTAATAATGTGGATATTCTAAGGGCGATGTGAGATTGGATAACAATTTGAGTTTTGATATTACATTTTTGTTTTGCATTTTTTCAGATAAATTTAACACATATGTGACCCTGAAAGTACAGAATGTGAAGAGCACAACTGTAGCAGTTCGAGGCGATCAACCTTCCTGGGAACAAGATTTCATGTTGTAAGTACTTTGCAGCCAGCATGCCTAAGTATTCTGTAATCTTTCTAAGGTTATGGCATCATATGAAACAAAGATTCTGTGCATGCCTAAGATTGACAAAAAGTGAGAACATTGTTAAATATTCTTTTGGAAAACTAAAACCGTAGTTATAGGAACAAGTGAGGTGTGTGGTAGGTGAAGTATATCTTCAGTTGTTTCTATTTAATAGATTCACAATCTATTCTTAGAGATGGATGATGAATGTAGGTAAACTCCTAATTAATTTATGAGCTTGAAAACATTACCTCATCAGATTTTTTTCAATGGTCAGATTAGCATATTAGAGTTAGTACAATTAGCAGAATATTAAGTATAACTTTAATATTTTTTTGATTCTCAGAAGCCTTCTTGAGGAAATATGGCTGTACCTATCAGAGACAGTGTTTGTATCTACCCAAGTCATCTGCCTTAGAGGATGAATATTCTGTGCTTATAAGCATTTTGTTTTATTTTCTATTATTTTTTGCAGTGCTGGAAATTGATCGTAAGACCTCATATGTTAGGCAAACACTCTACCACTGAGGCTATATCTCAACCCTTCCTTTTATGTTATTGAGTAAAATGCCCTATGTTTGAGTAAATTTCTTATGGTAGATTTTCTTATGTATGACAGAAAATTAATATTTTTAAAATAAAATTCTGGCATTAAAAATATTTTCTCACACCCCTCCCCTTAATTTTCAGTATTTTTTTTCTTTTTCTAGAAGAGAAAAGTGTAGAATATCTTATTGAAGGACTGGGCTAATCTCTTAACTTTTCTTTTTTTTAAATTTTTTTTTAGTTGAAGACAGACAGTATGTCTTTATTTTGTTTATTTTTATGTGGTGCTAAGGATCAAACCTGGTGACTCACAAGTGCTAGGCAAGTGCTCTGCCACTGAGCTACAGCCCCAGCCCTCTCTTAACTTTTCTGAGTGCCAGTTTCCTTATCTCTAAGGATCTATCATTATTTCTTAACACAGATCCTAAAGGTCTACCTTACTTATTAAAAGGTTATATTTGCTTTTTGAGAGTAGGAGATGGGCATGAAGGAGATAAAGGAAAATATGTATTGAAAGTACTGTGAAATTTGAAATTGCTTTACAAGTTTTACAGTGCAGTTTAGAGAGGCATTGGAATGATTGTTATTTTTATGGAGAAACAGTCCAGTCCTCTGGGCTTTTAATAAATATATTGCTACTTAAGGTACTATTTAGGAAACTTTATTATAATAGTTAAACAGTACTAATAGTTAAAGAGGGCCTAGGCTAAGACAGTAACAGAGAGGCTAGCAAAAAAAAAAAAAAAATGGAAAGAAGTGCTAAGGAGGTAGAACTAAAAGATTTGTTGGGATGATTAGTTGGGTTGTATGCTGCTCATTAGGTTGGGGTTAAGGTATTTGGACCAGTTTGTATTTGAAGTTCTTAGAGTTCATTTAGGAGGTATATTAAGAAGATAGTTAGAAAACTGAACCTGGCACTTAGGGAATGAATGTGGTTTGGGGAAATATTTTAGTCAGTTGAAGCCATAAGCACAGATAAGAAAACTTATAGAATGTATACTTTGAAAAAAGAGACTGGGACAGAGCCTGGAGAGCAGCAGCATTAAAGAGAGGATTAAGGAGACTAAGAAGGAATGAGTAGAGAGGTAGTGGAGAACCAGGAGTTGGTGGTGTCGTGGAAGCAGAGGAAGAACTGGGGCTTCAAAAAGAAGGCTAGTGGCATCACATTACTCTCTCTCATGATTATAAACCTCATTTATTCTCTTTTTAGTTAAAGTGACATGAAAGCAAGACCACCTACCTGTTCCCTTCTTTACATGTGTAATGTGCAGAGTTCATACAAGTCTCTTCACACATTAGCCATTCCACAGTGTGGCTCTGGTATATAAAGGTAGTGATCCTTCTCTCTTCTGACTTCCAGTGCTGTCACAATTACTTCCTGTTATAACTCTTCCCAGCATGTGAAACACAGTGATCTTCTGCAGTCTGTCATCAGCATAGCTAGCTTTATTCTTATATGTTTATTTTCCAGTTGTCCATAGCATGTCCCTTGCAACCCTGCTTTTGATGTATGTGAATTTTCTTCTGTCTCCCATGTTGAGATGCTGTGTGAATTTGGCCCTCTCCCTTTTTACACATGGGTTTTGTTAGCTATTTTCTTTATCTTTTTTGCTCCTCTTTGTCCTTTCATCACTTGCATCTTCATTGCTGATCTTTTCCCCTCCCTTTATCTTTTTTCCTGCTCCCTGATGTATTATGTGACAATCTCTAATATTCATTTTGGTATTTCTCATTTATATTTAATATTTCTGTGTTTTAATTTCAGGACTTGATTGTTTCTTAAGGAGGGTATCTTCAGTTATTGGTGCGAATGTCTAGCTCAGAATCTTGTGTACATGTATGCACATACACTGTTGATTGGAGTTTTTTGACAGAAAAAAGCAACTTCCCCAGGGCTCTAGGGATGAGGCATAAATAGAATTCTCAGACTTCTCTTAGTTGTGCCTGCTGAGCACACAGAGATGAGAAAAGAAGCTTCTTATAGAAGACATTTTCATTGTTTGAACCATATTCCCCAGAGAGTTCTGGGGAATATGATTTTCTTCATCTATTTAAAGTCATGCTGTTAAAGACCCCTAGATATTTCTTTTATCATTGGCTTGAGATGCTTTTTAGGAGTTGCTTTAGGAATATTATATATGTATCCCTAAGCAATGTTTCTTTTCCAGATTCAAATGAAAGGTACTTCAGATATAAGGGTATTACATGTATTTTCAAAGACTGATTAATTAGGCTGAATGACTGTGACAAAAAGCTCTCTGAACATCCTTAGTGGCTGGGTAAGTCATGTCATTTGTTGCTTTGAAGAGCCCAAAGTTGTGGAGACAAGAACTGGGTCTGATGTTAATGTGTCTTCCTTAAAGTACCAAGTCATATATATATTATAAGTGCTCAGGAAATATTAATTAAATGAATAAATGAACTCATTAGCACGTTCTCTGTGTTATATGCTTTGTATGTATGTGAAAATGACAGATTTTCTTTCATTGTGTAATTTCAACACACTTGATGTGAATTCAATGACTATAAATCCACATCCTTGTAAATCTGAGAACACTTACCTCATAGTACAACAGGGAAGCCAGGCAGGCTTTCTCAACAGCACACACTTGAAACTTCTGGTGATGAATAGCTTTTGTTTCTGAGAAGGCCTTTCTGCTTTTTTTGATGGAATTGTCCTTTTCTAGTTTTTCTTGCCATTCTTGCCCTTCAAGTAACCTTACATCCTAATAAGAGCTTTCTGGAGAATGTTTTTAGCATTACTGTGTTTTTTGCCATGCATGGTGGTGCATGTCTGTAGTCCCAGCAGCTCAGGAGGCTAAGGTAGGAGGATTGCAAGTTTGAGGCCAGTCTTAGCAACTTAACAAGTCCTAAGCAACTTTGCAAGGCCTTGTCTCAAAATAAAAAAAATCAGAAGGGCTGGGGATGTGGCTCAGTGGTTAAGCACCCCTGGGTTCTGTCTCTGTACAAAAATAAAATAAAATAAAATAAATAAGTATTTTTATTTTCTACCCTAAAATTATGATTTGTCCTTATAGGCAGATATTCTACCCATGTATGTCATTTCTTTTACATAGTGATTATTTGGCTCTTTCTGGAATGATTTCTTTTCCAATAATTATTATTATATTATTATTATTATAAGCTTAACTGATAATGAGAGTCCTCCAGGGGACTGAGTGACTTGACCTACATTCTCCTCTAACACTCTAGTGTCCCTCACCTGCCTTTGCCCACTTGTTCCCATCAAACTTATAGTGTTCTCATGAGCCCTTTTACTTCTACCTAGATTTCCTTTCATAACTCTTGTAAAAAAAGATTTACCTTTCCTAAAAACTTCCTGTATACATTCCATAAGTATAAATTGGGGCAGTGTTATCAATAAAACATATAGGACTGTTGCCTAAGGGTAGAAATTGTAGATAGGCAGGCAGGCATGGCAATAATGGCTTCATCACTTGGCCTTATTAGTCTAACCATGATTATATCTCAAAAGGCTAGGGGACAGTGAGAAACACATTTTTCTTTATTTCTTTCTCAAAATTTATTAAGGTTTAATTGGTATATAAAAATGGCATGTAATTAGTGCATATAATTTGGCAAGTTTGGACATATATGTGAACTTGTATTATTACCATCACCTTGATCAAGGGAATAAACATACCCATCACCTCCAGCAGTTTCCTTGTCCCTCACCTTTTGTGCTAGGAACACTTAACATGAAATCTACTTTCTCAACAAATTTTTAGGTGTGCATGCCTTATTGTTAATTGTGTGTGTGTGTGTGTAAAACATAGGTAACTATGTTGGATAGCAAGTCTCAGGAACTTACTCTCCATTTTTTTTTTTTTTTTTTTCCTTTTCAGGGCACTGGTGATTGAACCCAGGGGCACTTTGCCACTGAGCTGTATTCCTAGTCCTTCCATTCTTCTTTCCTAACTTCCTTCCTTCCTTCCTTCCTTTTTTATTGTGGTACTAGGACTCAAACCCAGACCCAGGGCCTCACATATGCTACGCAGGTGCTTTACTGTTGAACTACATCCTTAGTCCCCAGCCCTTTTTATTTTTATTTTGAGACAGGGTCTCACTAAGATGCCAAGGCAGCCCACAAACTTGTGATCCTCTTGCCTCAGTTTTCCAAATCTCTGGGATTACAAGTGTGTGCCACCACACCCAACTGGGGCTTACTCATGAATAATGAACAAAAGCATTTGTGTGTGTGTGTGTGAGTGTGTGTGTGTGTGTGTGTGTGTGTGTACCTTAACATAGATTCTGGGAACCTAAAGATGATTGCAGCATTCTGAGACATTTTGATTTTCCCTAAGAAAATATCCTGGGTAAGAAAGTATTCAGGATTAGTAAAATGGGAAATGTAGCATTTGTTTCAATTATCTGGCTTTGGTCAAACGCCTTTCTTCTTCTTTTCTCTAGTGAGATCAGTCGTCTGGACCTGGGTCTAAGTGTGGAGGTATGGAACAAAGGGCTGATATGGGACACCATGGTGGGGACCGTGTGGATTGCACTGAAGACAATTCGTCAGTCAGATGAGGTCAGTCAGTGCATTGCCTGTTTGGAGGTATGGTTTAGCTCTTCATTTTCCTCATCTTGGCTTCACTTCAGCTGATAGTCATCCATGCAACTCAGATTACTCTTCTCCCTTTCTAATTAAGAGGGTTTAGGACCTATCCGTTACCATCTTCACCCAGAGGGTCATGTGATTATAATTAAGTCTGTTTTTCCATATATCCCAATACTGAATTCAGAGATACCAAAGCAACTCCTTAGCCTTATTAGATAGACAGCCTCATCTGGGTAGTGTGCATGTATGCACCTACATTCTCCTCTAAGACATTGTCCTGGGAGAGGTCCCATTAAAATTTCTCAGCTAACTGGCTGGATTTTTCTTTTGCTTTGTTTGAGTCACTTAGGGAACTGGTTTCAGTCCTCTGCTGCATGTAACCCTACCAGAATTTAAGGAACTTCCAGGCTTAGCAGTTGCTATTCATATGGTCTTCATGCATTATTTCCTGAACTGAACTCCCGTTTTACTTTCCCTGTTTAGAATATAACTCAGATAGCATAATTTCCCCACATATACTCACTTTGTATTAGACAGAAGCTATTATGTTCCTACTTGGTTTTCACATGAACTATATGTTTTTTCCAGGAGTGGGAAAGTTGAACATATTGCCTCCGTTTTCTTTTATTTCTGGCTAAATCTCTACTCCCTCAGGCAGATGGGCAGTTTATTTTCATTGCATCTCTTGCTCAGTTCTGTTTAACTAGCAATGTCAGTAGCTCTTTATTGATGAGAAGCAGAGACATATATCATTAAGTGACACAGTCATTAAGAATTATGCAGATTAAATATTGATCCATGGAATGCTTAGTTTTAGAGTTTGGTACTCAAGAAATCTGTCCTGAAGAGAGCTAAGCATAATAAAAGCTGCTCTCCCCACTAAAGTTGGAGAACAGAAGTCTGTGTGTAGCACAGGCAGGTCATAACAGTGGCATGTGTGCCTTATCAGGATATAAGTGGCCCTCAGAAGCTCTCAAAAAGGGAAAATCAGAGAAGAACACCTGGCTCTTGAATCAAGAGGAAAGCCAAGAAAGTTTAATTTTGGATTTTGTTTCCTAGGAAGGGCCCGGTGAGTGGTCTACATTGGAGGCTGAGACATTAATGAAAGATGATGAGATCTGTGGAACTAAAAACCCAACTCCTCATAAAATCTTGCTTGATACAAGATTCGAGTTGCCTTTCGGTGAGTCTTTGTGATGAGATTTTTAAAATCACTTAATACTTTTTACCATATTGTGTGAGATTGTTAGCTAGTTGTTTCATGAATGTATATTTTATCTTCTCACCCATTTCCTTTGAGAGCATTTTGTCTTCATTTCTATGCCCCATGACCCCTGGCTTAGGGCAAGGATGCAAAGCAAAGTCTAGCAGGCGGTTATTAAAAATCCACAATAAAAAGCATACTCTTCAAGTCATTTAATTTTCTGTGACTGTTATTATAATTTATGAAATATCTGCTTGTTAGATTTATTATTTTGAAAATATATTTTTTAATATTTATTTTTTAGTAGTAGTTGGACACATACCTTTATTTTACTTATTTATTTTTATGTGGTGCTGAGGATCGAATCCAGGGCCTCACACTTGCTAGGTGAGCACTCTACTGCTGAGCCACAACCCTAGCCCTTGAAAATATTTTAACATTTAATATCTTGAAGTAAATATATACCTTATGATTTATTAATTTAAAAGAGAACTGATAAATTGAACATTATCTTTATTTTAAACAAATTTTAAAATCAGAAAAAAATACATGCTTCTGATAAAAATTCAAATGGGAATGAAATGTATGTGGGTAAAAAATTAAAAGTTTCTTTCTACTTCCTTTCACCTCCTTTCTATTCACCTGAGATAAACCACTAATAACTTTTCTGTGTCTTGGTCTAGACACAGATTTTCTAGGAATTTATTTTGGCTAAATTTGGATCACACCTTATATACTGTATATTTATTGTGATATATAATGTTGTATAAACTACTTTTTTTGTGTATATTTGGGACATTATTCCATGTTATACTTTAAGAACTATCTTACTGATCTGAAAAACTGTGATTACTGTAATTTATCCTGGTAATCTTTTACTGTTTGACATGTAATTTGTTTCCATTTTTTTGATATATATTGCTATAACTAATGATGTTATATATCTATGCCCATTATGAGTCTGGGATAAATGTCTTACAGTAGAATTACAAAGTCAAAGGGCACAATGCACATCACTGTTTTTCAAAGATACTGCAAAGTTACTTGTTAAAAAAATTGCACAATTTATACTTTTACCCACTGTTTGATGAGTATTTACTTCTGAATATCCTTGCCAACATTTTGTATGTTCCAGTTTTTAACCTTTGTCTATCTAATTGATTTAAATTGTTTTTTGTTTCAGTTGAATTCTATTAGTGTAATTTTAATTTTTATTATTCATATTGTTGATATTTACATATACTTTTTTATTGCTACTGTTTTATGATTTCAGTTTATTTAGGTCTTAGATCCTATGGTGATAAAAGCTAAAAATAATGTGATTTTTTCCAGCTAGTTCAAAAACAACTGAACTCAGAACTAACTATATACTTTAGAAAAATGGAAAGGAAAACTTGCTTGTGAAATTGTAGGCTAAGAAAAGCAAATGGAGTTCTTGTTTTTAGCTTAGTTGCTTGTATTTTTAGTGCTATATTCTTGACTGTACCAATTTGGAATAGAATTTTCATCTTGTTGAACTGGGAGGGAGATGAGAGTGAGTAGGTCTTGGTTTATATACTATAGACATTGACTGTTCTTACCAAATTTTAGTAGATTTTCTTTAATAAATATTTCTTCAGATGCTGTTGTCCTAGGAACATTTCCAGAGACTTTAAATGGTTGTTTTTAAATGTGTATAATCGATTTTGCTAGGGAACATGTTTTTGAAGCAGCTTACACTGTTAGGTTAGGAGTTCATTCATTCCTTATTGAATTTTAAACAAATATTCCTCTGTTTCACTACTGCATCATTTATATTCTGTTTTATATATAGCAGTATGCATTTCTGTCTAGATTTTTAGTTTCTTGAGGTCCTTGTGTAGTTTTTCTTGGTATGTCTAGTGTTTACTTGGTATGTAATAATGACTAATGGCTATTTGAATAAATGCTTAGGGTAAAAACTTATCTAAGTAAAAAGTCTATTTTTCACTGGAGTTAATATGAATGTGCCTTTGACCCCAGTGATAGAAAACTTTGACCTCAATGATAACACTTTGGCCCTAATGATAGCTAGCTTGGGATTCAGTTTTCAAAAATTTAATGATCCTTTTAAATTTTTGAAAGAAAAATTTTAGCTTTCAGCATCCCATATTTTGACAAAGGAATTTTCTTTCAGATAATATAGAAACTTGTGAAACCAGTTGTGTGGTGCATGTCTGTAATCCCAGCTACCTGGGAGGCTGAGGCAGGAGGACCACAAGTTCAAGGCCAGCCTGGCAACTTAGTGAGAACCTGTCTCGAAGTAAAAAGTATATTAGAGCTCAGGTTGTAGCTCAGGGGTAGAGTGCTTGCCTCTCGCATATGAGGCATTGGGTTTGATTCTCAGAACTACATAAAAATAAATAAAATAAAAACGTATGGTGTCCATCTGCAACTGAAAAAATTTTTAAAAAGCAAATTAAAAAAAAAATTTTTAATTGTTGATGGACCTTTATTTTATTTATATGCAGTGCTGAGAATTGAACCCAGTGCCTCACACATGCTAGGTAAGCACTCTGCCTCTGAGCCACAACCCCTTCCAAAAGTAAACTTTTTTAAAAATAAAAGAAACCTATTTAAAATTCTGTTAACCTGTGAGAATTTATAAAATCTCCTGTGTGAATTGTGCAAAAAACTTGGGAAGTATCAAATATATAATCCTGGGAAAGAAAAGCAAAGCCAGTGTGGTACACAAGTAGGTCTTATTGAACTAGCATTGGGAAGACTTGGCGGCAGAATTGCACAAAACATTTCTCAGTGTCTTAACCACTACAGATTGGTGAGTAATGAAAAATAAAAAATAAAATAAAAAGAATATGGTACTTGAAATTATACTGACTACAGTTTTAATCATGACTCATCTGTTTATGAACTGTGTGACTGTGGAGAAATTACTTGACCTTTCTGGCCTTTAGTTTCTTCATCTGCAAAAGAGAACAATGGGAATAATAGCACACTATATTGGTTTTGTGAAGAAACATTCAAGATAATGTTCATGGCGAGTACCAAGTCACCAGTAAAATTCATCTTTCACTACCACCTTTCAAACTACAGTTATTTGACTATAGAATTATGAATTATTTGCTGATGATTGAACTATTACCAGCTAATATGATTTCTTTTTTGTCTTTTTTGATGGTAGATATCCCAGAGGAGGAAGCCAGATATTGGACCTACAAATTGGAGCAAATCAATGCCTTAGGAGCTGATAATGAGGTAGGAAATGCTTTATTTGCAATATGGAAAGATGGGGATGTTGTCCAGCATGTTGTCCTAAAGAATGAAGTAACTTAAATTGCAATAAAGAAAGAGAACAGCTAAAAGATAGCCTGAAATTTCATTAGAAAGCTCCATTTCCCGCTTTTCCTATTTCTTGCTGTCTAAAGGACAGTGGGACAAGTCTGACTCTAGACTGTTGAGGAGGGAGCTAGTACTAGGGAATCTGTCTTCTTTTGTTACACAAATGAGCAGAAGGTATTTCTTCTGTTCCCTTCCAGATTTTTGGATATTATCCTTATTTGTGTATTCTTTTTAGGGATGTTTAGACTATTGCATTCATTGTTTGATACTGCTTTCATAATTTATCTCCAGAGATGAGTCTGGTGTGTAGAAGAAAATATAATTCAATCTGGAGGCATTAGGAATGGAGAATTTTTTGTTATTGGCAGTGCAAGGGAAAGATAATATATTTGTTTACTTTCGGACATGTTGGGCTATTAAAAATGAGTCTTATAAGAATTTGAGTGGCAGAAGATACTTCAGTGGAAATGTCTAGTGAATGGCTTCATGAGAAATCTGGAGCTCAAGCTGTAGGCATACAGTTTGGATTCATTAACCTGTGGGTAGCAACTGAAGTCAGCAGTAGAAAAACTAAACAAGGCAGAGCATGAAAGAGTATTAAAGAAGAACAAAACTTGGGAAATATCAAATATATGATCCTGGGAAAGAAAAGGAACTGAGTAAGAGGTGCCTAAAATTGAGAGAATAGGAAAGGTTCCTGGAACAAAGGAAACAAGTGAAAGTTATGGAACGAAGACAAAAGATTCTTGATAATATCATGTGTTCAAAGAAAATGAATTCTGTAATAGAATTATAGAGTAATTGGATTTGGTGATTAACACCAACATTCATAGAAGCCAAAATGCAGTGGTTTGATGACTGTGTTAGTTTCCTAAGGCTGCCATAAAGTACCATAAACTGTGTGACCAAAAGCAACTGAATTTTATTCTTTCACAGCTCTGAAGGCTTGAAGTCTGAAATCCAGGGGTTAGCAGGGTTAGTTCATCTCAGTCTTGAGGTTCAGAAGAGAAATCTTCTATCCCTCTCTCCTGTCTTTAATGGCAGTTCTTGCTGTTCCTTGGCTTTAGATGCATTCTTCTAATCTCAGCCTCTGTTGTCACATGTCTCTCTGTGTCCCTCTGTGTGTTTTCAGTATATCTTGTATGTCTGTGTTCAGGTTTTCATTCTTCTTGTAAGGATACCAGTCATTGGATTAATTCAATTGCATCTACAAAGATTTTAATTCCAAATAAGGTCAAATTCACGGTACTTAGGGTCAGAACTTCAACATCTCTGGTGTGTGTGTGTGTGTGTGTTGCTAGGGATCAAACCAGGGCCTCATGCATGTTAGGCAAGAACTCTACCACTGAGCCGCATTTCCAGCCCTCAACTTACCTTTTCTTGGGGGAAACAATTTAACCCATGGTGAGTTAAATGAAAGGTGAAGAAGTGAAATTTGGGACAAGTGACAACAACACTTTGGTTTTTTGTACTGGGGATTGAATCCAGGTGCACTTTACCACTGAGCCCATCTCCAGCCCAAAACTAATCCTATTTTTCTTTAACAGCTTTATTGAAATATAATTCATACAGATCATGTAGTTTACCCATTTAAAGTATGCACTTTAATGGCTTTTAGAATATTCAGAGTTGTGCTTTTTTTTGATGGGGAGGTACTGGTTTTTGAACCCAGTGGGTCTTCACCATTGAGCCACATCCTTATCCCTTTTATTTTTTATTTTGAGACAGGATCTCACTATGTTGCTTAGGGCCTTGCTAAATTGCTGAGTCTGGTCTCAAATTTACCTCAACCTCCCAAGTTACTGGGATTATAGCATACACCACCATGCCTGGCTGAAGTTTGAACATTTTGATTACCCCATTAAAACAAACAAATAAACAAAAAATTCTGTGCCCTTAGACATTACTCTCCAATCTCATATTCCTTAGCCCTAGACAACTACTAATCTACCTTCTGGTTTTCTACATTGACTTATTCTGGACATTTAATGTAAATGAAATTACATAATATGTGTTCCTTTGTTGACTGACTGTCTTTAGGTAGCATAATGTTTTCAAGGTTTCATCCATGTTGTGACAAGTATCATACTTCATTCCTTTTATTGCCAATTAACATTCCATTGTACAAATATATTATATTCTATTTATTCATTTAAGAGTTGATGGATAGATGTGTTGTTTACACTTTTTAGCTGTTATAGATAATATTGCCGTGAACACACATACAAAATTTTGTGTGGACATACATTTTCATTTCTCTTGGGTATAGACCTCATGGTAGAATTTCTGGGTCAGAACTGTTGGACACACTGCCAGACTGACATTTTCTATTCCCATTGTGAATGTATAAAGATTTTAGGTTTTTCATATTCTTGTTGGTACTTCTTGTTATCTCTTTTTTTATTATTACTATCCTAGTGGGTAGAAGTGGTATTTTATTATGATTGTTACTCCATGTAAAAACTTTTCTTCTTCTTTTTTTAATATTTATTTTTTTGTAGTTGTAGTTGGACACAATACCTTCATTCCATTCATTTATTTTACGTGGTGCTGAGGGCCCAGCATATCTAGGCGAGCGCTCTACCGCTGAGCCCCAGCCCCAGCCCCAGCCCCAGCCCCAATTTAAAAACTTTTCTAAAAATATAGAATTACTCTCTCCTCTTTTTTTTTTGCTGGAATTCAAAAATACATTAGTATATATCTCTAACAGATAATGCCTTCTAAAAAATAACTACAATGCCATTATCATCTTGAATATAGCAATAATATCTTAACATCATCTAATACATAGTTTGAGTTCAGATTTCTTTTGTTGTCTTAAAGATGTCTTTTTATAGTTGATTTGTTCAATATCTAAACAAAAAAATGTATATTTGGTTATTATGTCTCTTAAATCATTCTTATTGTATAACTGTTCCATTTCCGTAGTTTTATAGAACTCCACACATTCTGTATTTGGCTGATTGTGTCCCTAAGGTTTCATTTACTATGTTATTTTATTCCTTTAAGCTGATAACTATACCTAGTAGCTTGAGGATTAGATTGAGATTTAGACTGAAGTTCATTTTGAGAGGGGTAGGCAGTTGATATCTTATCTCAGTTTTAGAGTTAAAATTCAACAAGGCTTCATGTATTGTCAGCCTGTTTCTTCATTATAAAATTCTTCCATCAGTCTTTCACCTAATGGTTTTAGCAGCAAATAACTATCATTACTTTATTAGGATTTTCAAAAGGATGATTTAACTATGATTTGTCTACAAATAGAACTTTTTCTTAACAGCTATTTGATTTGCTTGAAATGTAGTCTGTTAGTCACCTTCCTTTAGCTGTGACAAATTACCTGGGATAAATCAACTTAAAGGAGGAAAGATTTATTTTGGCCCACAGTTCCAGAAGTTTTAGTCCATGGTCACTTGGCCCCATGGACTAAAATAGAGTTGCTTACCACATGATAGTTGGGAAGCAGAGAGAGGAAAGGGCCAGGGACAAAATATATCCTTCAAGGACATGTCTCTGAGGGTCTATTTCCTACAACTAGATCCTACCTCCTACATTTCCACCACCTCCCAATAGCCCTTTAAATTATGAATCCATTGCCAGAAGCTAAGGCAGAGGAATTAAAAGTTTGAGGCCAGCCTCAGCAATTAGTCAGACTTTGTCCACCCCTCCAACTCCCCCGCACAAGAAAAAGTCAGTGGGGGGCTGGTGATGTAGCTCAATGTAAAGTATCTCTGGGTTAAATCTTCAGTACCCTCCCCCACTATATCTATCTCTAAATTTGTGTCAATGGCTAAATCCATTGACGAGATTAGAATCCTTTTGATCTAGTCATCTTCCAGAGGCTCCACCTCTGAACACTGCTGTTTTGGGGACCAGTCCTTCAACATGTGTGTAAGCTTTTGGGGGACATTTCAGATCCAAACCATAACACAGTCTACACAGGAAAAATATTCTTTTCATCAATTTTCAGAATGACGAGCTATTGCCTCAGCAACTTCTCAAAGTGACCTGTGAGTTATTTTTTTGTTTTTGATTACATGTTATTATGAATTTATGAATTTGTGCCTACAGATTTGTTATCTGGTGATGGCCTGTTTCCTGTTTGTGGATGGCACCTTGCTGTGCCTTTATATAAGGGACAAGGCATCTTTCTGGGACTCTTTAAAAGGATACTAATACCATTCATGAAGACTCAGTCCTTATAATCCACTCACATGTCACAGGATCTACCTCCTAATACTATCATGTTGGTGAATAGGTTTTTCTACAGATGAATGTGGGGGGACATAAATGTTCACACATGCCAAGCAGGTGCTCTACCACTGAGCTATATCCCCAGCCCCTGCTCTCATTTTTTTTTTAAAGTATTTATCTTATATAGCAGATTTTATTTGTTCGTATAGAGAATTATCTTAGATTTCTATGTAGCTAATTTTGAATCTTTAAATATTAAGTTTTTATTCTATTTCCAGGCCTTATATTTTTTGTTTGAAATTTTATATGTATGTGTATATACATACATTAATTATTATTATTATTTTTTTTTTGGTACTGGGAATTGAACCCAGAATCCTTTACTGCTGACCTAGTCCTTTTATTTTTGTTTTGGGACGGGATCTTGTAGTGTTTTGAGGCTTGCCTTGAACTTTCAATTCTCCTGCCTCGGCCTCCCAAGATGCTAGGATTATAGGTGTGCACCACCATTTCTGGCTGTACATATATGTTTATATCAACTCATTTTAATTTTTGGAACAGTTGTAGATTTATAGAAATATTGATCAGATGGTTCAGAGAGTTTATCTCCTCCCTGCCAATCCCACCCTAAAGTTTCTCCTATTTTTAACATCTTTACATTAGTATGGTACATGGGTTACAATTAACAAACCAATATATATATTATTATAACTAAAGAGTTGGTACTTTATTTATTTATTTTTTGAAAATACCTTAATTTTATTTATTTATTAATATGTGGTGCTGAGGATTGAACCCAGGGCCTCACACGTGCTAGGCGAGAGTTCTAGTGCTGAGCCACAATCCCTGGTACTTTATTATTATATATTTTATTAACTAAAAACTTAAGCTTGAATGTTTTTACCATAAAGAAATAAATGTTTAGAGGAAATAGAGAAGTTTACCCAAAATAAATAAATAAATCCTAAAGTTCTATAGTTATTTCCTCAGTTTTTAATCTCATGTTATTTTTTTTGTTTCAAGATTCCATCCAAGTTACTATAGTATATTTGGTTGTCATATTTCCTTAGGCTCTATTTGCCTATAGCATTTTATCAGACTTTCCTTATTTTTGATGACCCCTAATTTTTAAAAAATTCAATACCTAAGACATGCAGTACAGTTGGCCTTCTGTTTCTCAGTTCTACATCTGCAGATACAACCCACCTTGGGTTGAAAAATATTTATTTTAAAAATGGAATTTATACTGAACACTTTTTTTTTTTTTTTTGGTGGTGCCAACGGTTGAACCCAGGGCATCATATATGCTAAGTTCGTACTCTGCTATTGAGCTTCCTCCTTAGCTATGTAATCAGTTTTTTTCCCTTGTCATTATTTCCCAAAACAATATGGAATAACAATTATTTACATAATATTTACATAGTATCAGGTAATATATAATCTAGAGATGGTTAAAGGATACAAAAGGATGTGTATTAGTTATGTGCAAATACTATATCATTTTACATAAGGGGCTTGAGCCTCTGTGGATTTGAGGATTCATTGGGGAAGGTGTCCTGGAACCAAGGGATGACAAATGTATAATTTTTGATAGAGAGAGAGTGGAGAGCCTTGTATTTTTCCTAACTTCATAAGTCCTTTTTTGTGGTACTGGGAGTGAACCCACTGAACTACATCCCCAGCCCATTATTATTATTATTATTTTTTAAAATTTTGAGACAGTCTCACTGATTTGCTGGAGCTGGTCTCCAACCTACAATATTCTTGCCTCAGCCTTCTGAGTAGCTGGGATTGCAGGTGTGAACATGACAGGCTTATTAATTGTCAATGTTTGTCATTGATTTGGATAGATATCCTTCATCAGAGTAAAGAAATTTTGTTTTCTAAGCTTTTTTTGCATTGAAACAGAATGAAATTATATCAAATCTTTTCCTGTCTCTATTATATCACATACTTTTTCTCTTTTAATCTAGTTAATGTGCTACATTATATGAATAGATTTATCAGATATTGACCTTGCATTTAAAATCTGCCTGGCTAGGAGATATATATATCCTATATAGATCCTATATACACATTTATATGCCAACATGCATATATATGCACATATATATGTTTCTATTCACATATAAATATTACATGCTTATGTAATGTGATGGATTTGGCTTGGTAATCTATTAATTAGAATTTTTGTATTTTTATTCATAAGTGAGATTTTTCTTTTTTTAAAAAAATACTATTATTGTCTCTCTTTTGCAGTAGATTTTAGGGTTTTTTTTCCCTTAGTTATCTAAGTGTTAATTTTGTTGTGATTGGACTTCAACTTTCCATTTTGGGCCTAGGACATATTCTTTAAATGTGGCTTTTGAAAATGTCTACTCTCATCTCTTAAGTCTGAACTCTTCTAGTTTAATATTTAAAGTTTCTCACTGTTATCCCTATGTGCTGCCTTCAAAAATCACCATTTTATTTATAATGGTAATTTTTTATAATCTAGTCCCTTTGTCACTTTGAAGTGAATGTTTAACCTTCAAGAAGTTTAGAGCATTTATGTGAGGGGCAGTTTTACTAAGATTATCATATTATTTAAATTTTTTATCACTTCTGTTCACTCCCTATTGGAAGTAGCAATAGCAGTATTATTTTATTTGTGTCATAGTTTATTATTTGTAAAATATGTTATATACAAAAGTATATTCAAAAAGTCTTTTGTGCTGGGTGTAGTGGCTCATACCTGTAATCCCAGTGGCTCGGGATGCTGAGGAGGAGGATCATGAGTTCAAAGCCAGCCTCAGCAACTTAGTGAGGCCCTAAGCAACTCAGTGAGACACTTTCTCTAAATAAAATATAAAAAAGGGCTAGGGATGTGGCTCAGTGGTTTAAGTGCTCCTAGGTTCAATCCCTGGTACAAAAAAAAAAGTCTTTTGCATTTTTTGATCCAATCACTTGAAGTGCCCTTCATCATTAACATCCTTATGTATACATCATCAACTTTTGTCTAGATTACTCTAAAGTTTAGTCAATTTCCTCCTTGTACTCTGCATCTCATCTTATCAACCAACATAATCTTCAAGTGTAATTAAGTCATATTCCTCTGTTTAAAACTCTTAATGACTTTCCAGTACACTAGAATAAAATTGATCCTCATTATTATCAAACTTTATTCCCTCAGTGAACAAGGCCCTGCATATAGTGGGCATTCAAAGAGATTTTTCAGTTCTGTCGTCTGATTGGGGGATATCTATACTTTAGCCACAGGAGAACTCAGAGGATTGTCAAATACTGAGGCTCCTGAGACCAAGTCTTCTACAATTGCCTGGCAGAGCTAGGCAGATGTCTAGATGCCCTTGCCAGAACAACTTCTACCGTCTTACTTTAGCCCAATGAATTGGGCCAGCACCATAACGTAGTCTGGCTTTGTGGATCTAGGATCATGCGTGGAAAATAGTAGTGGGATGTTCTGTTTGTGTTCAATAAAAAACTTGACTCCAGCCAAAGACTACATCTTTTTATAGGTAGCTATGATTTTTTTCCTCCCTTCTTTACTTAGGTCTCTTATTATACATTTCTCTCTCTCTCTTTTCTGTTTCTAGTATTCTATTCAAGAAGAAAGCCAGAGGAAGTCCTTGCCCACTGCTGCCGCCCAGTGTTGTAAGTGAGAAACTTGTCTCTGAACCTGTCTTTGTTGCAGCTTTCTGTTCCTTGTTCAGATGTGGCTTATTTTGAGTCAAAGAGGGTGAACAGTGTGTATAAATAGAAGTGATTCCAGAAGTTCTGCTGTCTTGGCACAAGCCTGCAGTGGCTGACTGTTCACTTATCATTCATTAACTTCAGGAATCAGTTTTGGTTTTGTGTGTTGTAAGTGGGGCAGTGGTACTTTTTTTTTTTTTCTTTTCTCCTTCTTTGCTAGATTTTACCCCCTGGGGTATACCCGCTTTATCCCCTTTTACCTGTTATTATTTTTTTGGTACCATGGATTGAACTTGGGGGCACTTGGACACTGAGTCACATCCCCAGCTCTATTTTATATATTTTTAAATTTAGAAACAGGGTCTCACTGAGTTGCTTAGCACCTACCTTGCTTTTGCTGAGGCTGGCTTTGAACTTGTATTCCTCCTGCCTCAGCCTCCAGAGCCACTGGGATTACAGGCGTGTGCCACCAAGCCCGGTTATGTGTTTTTCTTTTTTTAAGGCTCAGTTTAAATGTCATCACCTCTGTTTCCTCTTTCCCATAAATTTAGCCTATGTGTCTCCTCTGTGTTTTCATATTCCCTGTGCCCATCACATAACCTGTCATATTTTGTAAGCTGTGTATATTTAATTAACAAGAACACAAAATTTGAGGGCTGGGGATGTAGCTCAGTGGCAGAGTACATGTATAAGGTCCTGGGTTTGATCCCCATTGCCACAAAAAACAAACAAACAAACAACAACAACAAAAAAAACCCCATAAAGTTTTAAAAGATAGACATTCTTTTATTTTATATTCTGGTATCTGGCTCAATACCTGATCCATAGTAAACTCCAATAAAGTTTGATGAATGAATTAAATGGATGAGAGAACCTGTCATTTCTCTTGGGATTAATTTGTCCAGATCATACAGATTCTTTCTGGAAATGAGTCATGTATTGTTGGTATATTTCTACCTTCTTGATTTTTTTTCAAATAAATTAAGTAGCTACTAAAGGGGACACTAAAGTCTATTTTAGTTTTTCAGCCAGTGAGATATATGCGTAAGTACATATGTATGTGTATGTGCTTATTTTTCTTCTCTGCATTGCTGTAGGTTTTCTGAATCAAATGCCAAATTTCATCAACTGTGGATGGCAGTTGTCATGGTAATAATAATAACAAAATAACCAATGTATATTGAACTCTGACAGTGTGCCAGATGCTGTTCTAAGAGTTTAAATGTACTGACTGACTTAGTCTTCACAAAAACCAAAGGCACAGATTTTATTCTTGTACCCATTATTCAGGTGAGGAAACTGAGGCATAAGGAGATTGAGTAATTTGTTACGAATCATTTAGCTACTAAGGGGTAAAGTAAACATTCAAATGCTGACAACTTGACTCCATAGTTTACATGTTGAACCCCACTGGGTTACACTGCTTCCTTAGTATTGTTTATGAGAAGGAAAAACCTCTGTTCATCATTTGTAAATCTATTGATTACCTTCAGTTATATATATTCCACAGGACACTTTCCTGATAAAATTAAGACCAATGGAAGAGGTCAACATTTTTTTCTTTAAGAAAACCCACTTTTTATATGATGTATTGCAACCACATTTTCATTTTGTTTTGCTTTGTTTGCTATTTAGGGTCAAACATTTAGAATCTTAGGAGGCCCAAAACAATCTAAATTGAATACTAGATTGTGAATTGATGTCTGAAGATCCTTTCCAGCATTCCTTGTAATGAGCTAATTTGGACCTTTTAAATCTTTTTTTTTTTTTTTTTTTTCAAGATTGTTAGTGAGAAGTGAAATGTAATAATTGAGATGTCATGTCCTGTTCCTTCCTGGACTCATTTGATGAAATGCAGTTGAAGTGATTTAAGTAAATGCCAAGAGGCAGGAAGAAATAAAAAGTCATAAATAATCTGCAAGCTTATTAATTCTCATACTTTTCAAATGTTTTCTGGATACTTTACTTTATATTTTGGTGATGCTGGGGATTGAATTCAGAGGTACTTTACCACATAGCTGTATCCCCAGTCCTTTTGTTTTTTATTTTAAGACAAAGTTTTGCTAAATTGCCTAGTCTGGCCTTGAGCTTATGATCCTCCTGCCTCAGCCTCCTGCAGAGGTGAGATTACAGTCATGCACTGCTGCTTTGGACTCTAGTTTCTTTATTTTCTATGAATAGCTCATTAATAACTCTTGTCTATTCCCTCATATATTTTTATTTTGAAAACATTTTAAACCTGCAGAAAAGTTAAAAGAACAGTTCAGTGAGCACCCATTGCTCTTTAATAGGTCAAATAATTAACATTTTGCTACATTTGCTCCTTCCCTCCTCTCCCCCATATCTTTCTTTCCTATTTCTGTATGTGTGCTGCTGAAGCAAGCATGTCTTTCCTATTTCTGTGTGGCTGTCTTTTATATAAACATTCACAACAATACACACGTATTTTCTCAATCATTTGCAAGTAAGCTGCATACCTCAGGACGCAATAATATGTATTTCCTAAGAGAAATACCATCACAATCAATAAATTAACATTAATACCATCTGAAATGCTGTCCATATGGAAAATTCCCAAATTGTCCCCAAAATGTCTGTTTTTTCTCCCATTTCATGATCTAATCAAGAGCTACACATTTTGTTGTCCTGACTCTAATTTTCTTTAATTAAAGAATGAAATTCTTGGTTTTCTAGTCTTCTGTGACACTCTGTTCAATTAGAAACATTCTAATCATAATGTCTAGTGCATATGGGCATATATATTAGTACAGGTTTCTGGGAAGCACTTTGACAAAATATATCAAAGCACTGAAACTATTAATAGCTTTTGATTTAGTGGTTGAATTTCTGGAAATTCTACCACTTGTCTGCTATAATTACTTAGGATAAGTAATTACTTATCCTAAGTAATTACAGCAGACAAGATTTACATAAATAATGTTCATTGAAGAATTATTTAAATAGCAAAAACTTGAAAATAACTCAGTAGTTAAATAATAAATGATAACTGTCATAAGACTCAATATTAAACATTATTTTAAATTATGCTTTACGGCCTGGGAGAGTAACTCAGTAGTAAAGAATGTGCTATGACAAAACCCTAATTCAGTTCTCAGCACCAAAAAATAAAAATACAAAATATTTTTAAATAGAGAAATTTTGATGAAACTTTAAGCAAAATAGCATAAAATTTCTGTTATTAAAGCTACCCAGTCTGTAGTATTTTGATATGACAGTCTGAAGAGACTAACTACTACACTTTTGTGGGAAATACTCCTGGGAAAAGAAGCACCAAAATATTAATCAGTTTTTTTCTTTGGGATGTGGGATTATAGCCTTAAATTTTACTAATATTTAACAATACAATACTTTTAATGCTTGTTGAGTTATTATTAAGAGAAATGGACTGATTGAGAGCTTGTCTGAAAGTTCTCTCAGGGGAGCACAGCTACTTGTATACCTTTGATGGAAGAGTGGTCCTCCTCTATCGGGCAAGGTTGTCCTCTTTGACCAAGTGCACCGCTTCAGGAGGCATGCATATGGAATGGTGAGGGAGGAAGGTGACATCTGCTTAGCCTGCCAGATCAGCCAAATTAACCTTGGTGATTAGTGGGCTAACAGATGTCTTAGCCAGCTTGTCCTCAGATCCAAAATGGAGTAATTGAGTCCTTCTT